TAAGCCCCTTTGCAAAGGTCGAAGTTTCTCTCAAATTCAGGGATCAGGTTATCAGCTCCATGCCAAACTTGCAATGGTTGAGTCTGGAGGCTACAAATTCATGGGAACATCATCCAGTTGTTCAAAGAAATGGAGCCAATTCTTGTTATCAATCCTTTTTTTAAACGGACAACCCCTCCCCCAGTTTGCACCACTCAATACGTTCATTTCTCCTCAGGAAGCAGGATGCTGAGCTCGAGAGCCTCTGCTTGAGAGCGTTGCATGGTTAATCTGTGGCTCAACATTTGGGTTTTCCTATTTGTCGGCATCTTAGCCTCCAGCCAGCTTGTGGCTATGACGTAGTCTTGTGTAGACCATCTGTAGTACATTCTGTACCAGTCCTCTAGATAGGGAATTGGAGGACTGCGTAAACATAACAAAATGCTGGCTTTTGCTCTAGGTATGCTACCATTGAGCTGCTTTTTATGCTTTTGTATTCAATTCTTTCATAATTGAGATATAATCATTAACGACTCTATTAAATGTGGGCTTTGTATATTTTAACTTACATTCCCCAACAGGTCATGTCCCCAGCTTACACCTGCCTCACTCAGTGGGCCCAATTGTACTTTTCTTATATTTGATGACATTATTTCACAAATCTTAGTTGGCCGTAGAAAGTTTCTTGTGTTTTTTCTTTACTAGTCAAAAAAGCATCAATGGAACACTGAGGGAATCAATATGACAAGTTCAGAATTTTAAATATTTGGGATGGTCCTACATGCTATTGGCATTTAGAAAACCCATATAGCTTATGCGAAGGAGCTCTTTCATAGCCAAGGCAAGAAACCTATTTCCTGCAGTGCTGAAATTGTTTGAGTTTATAGCCCACATATTTTACAACCACATTGTTCCGATGGATTTAATAAGTTTGTGATGTCAGTATGTGAATACGGTTGAATTCATAGGTTTTCACACCCTTTGCAGAATTTGCAAAAGGGGCACAATTTTCTAAGAAAATCATGATCACGCAACATGTTTTTAAAAATTGTAATGTGATTCAAATATTAATGTTCATAAGTTAGGACATTAAACAAACCATCACAATAAAAGAAATAGTAAAATAGTTCTGTTCCCAAGTTTCCATATCCTTGAAGGTTTCAGCTGATAATACAGTGTACATTCACAGGTTGAATGGGCAATAAAAAGTATTTACACCTGTGTGTAAATGTCATCCAGGGTTGCAGTGTTTACTGGCTACATTTACATTAGATTTTTAGGTGGGTTTTGAAACTGCCATTTGTTCAGTAGGATTTAGCACATTCTGCATTTAAAAACTTTCTTCCGAGTGTAAAGTTTATAATTTTTACTGAATCATATTTTGACAACTTTTTCCATACTCCCATGAATGTTTAAGGATTTCCCCCCAGGTGAATTCTTTGATGACTTCTGAGATTTCTGATTGTTGTGAAGGATTCTCCACACTCCAGGCATTTATATGGTTTTTCTCCTGCATGGATTTTTTGATGTCTACAAAGCTGTCCCTTCTGACTGAAGCTCTTTCCACACTCCAAGCATTTGTAAGGTTTTTCTCCAGTGTGAATCATTTGATGTCGACGGAGGTGTCCACCCTCAGTAAAGCTCTTTCCACACTCCAGGCATTTATACGGTTTTTCTCCAGTGTGGACACTTTGATGTCGATCAAGCTGCTCCTTCTGACTGAAGCTCTTTCCACATTCCAGGCATTGATATGGTTTTTCTCCAGTGTGGATTCTTTGATGGCGACGGAGCTGTCCACTCATAGTAAAGCTCTTTCCACACTCCAAACAGATAAATGGTTTTTCTCCATTGTGGATCCTTTGATGGTCATGGAGCTGTCCACCTTCAGTAAAGCTCTTTCCACACTCCAGGCACTTATACGGTTTTTCTCCTGCGTGGATTTTTTGATGTGTATACAAATGTCCACTCAGAGTGAAGCTCTTTCCACACTCCAGGCATTTATATGGCTTTTCTCCTGAATGGAATCTTTGATGTGTATGAAGGTTGCCCACCTCATTGAAGCTCTTTCCACATTCCATACATTTGTATGGTTTCTCTCCAGTGTGGATCCTTTGATGCCTATGAAGGCTTTCCCTCATATTGAAGCTCTTTCCACATTCCATGCATTTGTATGGTTTCTCTCCCGAGTGTATCCTTCGATGTCTAGAGAGGTTTCCCCTCTGACTGAAGCTCTTTCCACATTCCAGGCATGTATAAGGTTTCTCTCCCGAGTGGGTCCTTAGATGGATTTCAAGATAGTCATTTCTTTGGAAGGATTTTTCACATTCCGGGCACTGATATTCTGATTCTCCCTCCTGGATCCTTCGGGGCTTCCGGGATCTTCCGAGGGACCCTCCGGCCTCCAAGCACGTCTCGGGGTCTCCGCTCGTTTCCTTCTCCCGGCATTGTCCTCTGGGCCGCCCCCTTTTCCGGGGTCCACCTGGACTCATCCCTCCTGCAATCGCGGAGCCTCCCGGCCTTTCCCCACCGTCTGCCGTGGAAGTTGCTTCGGTAACCGCCAGGGCTGCTCCGCGGGGCCTGCTCTCCTCCTCAACCTCCTCCTCTCGGGCGGAGTTTCCTTCCCTCGCCGGGCTCCTCCATCCTCCTGAGGGGGAGAAAGAGAGGCGGTTCACGGCTGTGTCCCCTTCACGGCAGGGGAGTCCTAAACCGAAATCTCCGCCTCTCACGGTCCTTCCGGGGAGGCCCGAGGCGGATACAGCCTCCACTTCAGAGCGCCAGGCCAGGCCTCCGGCTCCCTTCTGCGGGAAAGTTCCCCCTCAGACGTCTCCGACCCCGTCGGCAAACAGAATCCATTAATCGCCTCAGACGTCTATTTGAGCCCGGAAGTGAAGGCGGGACCTCGTTGCGCGCCCTTTCCTAGAAGCTCCTCCTGTTCCTCTTTAGGGACCGCCCCAAGAAGTCCACCTGCCAATCCCCTGCCGCCGTCAGCGTCGTCCTTCCTCAGTCAGGCAGATGGCGCCTGCGCGGTGCCGAGGACCGTCTTGGTGCGCTCTTCTCCCCCATCCCCGCAATTCAGTCCTGCGGAGGTTCTTCTGGTGCCGCCGCTCTTCTGCTCACCCTCACCCGGGGTTTCTCCCTAGGCAAGGCGGGTGGGGGGCATCCAGGCAGCCGGAGCCGAGGGTCCCTTCTGGGGCTGCGTCTCTGCCCCTCCCTCCCCATCCGGGGAGTCTCTCCCTTGGCAAGGGGGGGCCTTCGGGGTGGGGGGCAGCCAGGCAGAAGAGATGCCTGTCATTATAAACCTCGTTTTCCAAAATTGTCCCTTTGATCTTTTTTTCCCCTCTGGCAGGATGTTCCTTTCAATGTCTCCCCGCTTTTTGCCACTTTTTTCTTAACAAGTGAGCACAAACCGACCGCCAGACTCCCTGCAATCTTTTTCATTTTCTAAGCATGCCATTTGGGACAGATTCATTCAGAACCGGGCCATGGAAGCAGTGATTTACTTAACAAGTGTGCAAGACAAGTCATAAAATGGGGCAAAACTCAATAAACAAACTTAGCAACAGAAATATTGGGCTCAGTTGTGATTTGCAGTTATTCCTGAAAACATCGTGCAGCTTCAGAATGTCATCGGTTTAGGAAGGACACCACCGTCTGCCCCTTAGTGGCATTTGTAAGTTCCAGGTTTCATAGAATTTTGAGTAAAAGATTGAGTTAAGAATGGAACTCAGTCTTAACCCAGACTGGTTTGTTTGTTTATTTGCACATGTTTGGTCTAGTGATTAAGGCACCAAAGTTAGAAAGCAGGAGCCCAATCCCACCTCACAGGGTTGTGGTTGTGAGGAAAGTAGGAGAAAGATCGACTGCATATGTTAACTGTCTTTAGTTATTTGCAAAAATAATAAAGGTTGAACATAAATATCTTTTGCAAGTTCCAATAAGCTAAATACATTTAGAATCCAGAGTATTTACAGAAATATCAAGGTTAACAGTATTTTTTTTAAAGTAACTTCATAATTTTCTCTAGCCTTCCTAAAATTCAGAATGAGGTAGCTACCGTAGTATTGTAAAGCATTCATAAAAAGGGGAAATCCTTCAAATATCTAGGAATATTATTAAAAATCAACCAAATATTTAATAATTTCTTCCCTACGTGGAAAAAATAAGGAAATAAAGATTCATGCTATTGTCACCACAGGTGTTGCATGGGTGCTACTGGAGCTGCAATAGCGCGAGTGGGGTTGTGCAGGCAAACTAGCCAGTCATTCACATGGTCCAGTGGCCAACAGGCCATGGCCTGGTATGGTCAGAGGCACAAAGGTTCAGGACCTCTAATCTAGACTCCTTGTTTTCAGCTGTTTAAGTCTCACATGTAATCAGTATCTTTGTTTGATCACTTGCTTCCAGGCATATCAAATATAC